CCCTGCAGGGGCACTGTTTGCAGATCTGTTCTTTCTGAATTCTTTCCCTCTGGCCGTGCTGTGTTTCTCATCCTGATACCTTTCAGTCGGCACCTTCGGACTGTGCCACTGGGCCTTCATAATATGCCACCTGCACTCCAGCAATGCAGAGGAAGAGGCTTAACTGTGTGTTGTGGATTCCTGTGGTGGTTCCCCTAATGCTTGTTTCTCTTCTCTGTCCATCTAAGGGACTATGCAGCAGCTGTTTTACCACCCTATAGCAGCATCGTGAATAGACTTATCCTCACAATGTTGCTGTGAAGTGAGGCAGAGTGGCTGTTCCCATTTCACAGATAGGAAATTTGAGGTCAGAAAGAGTAACGCCCAGATCCAGAAAGGTACTTGGGTATGTGATGCCTAGTGAGGTGCCTGCGCACCCACTGTTTGGGCTTCCTAAATTCCTGTTTGGAACTGACCTCAAGCAACTTGCTCAGGAACCCACTGACAGAGCAGGGACTTGGGCCCAGGTCGCAGGTTAGCCGTTCACCCATTGCTTGTCCCTCCTTTCGTGTTCCCACCTGATTCCACAAGTCCTGTTTTCCCACAGCTGCACCTGCCAGCGGGTTGACACTGAACTAGATTGGAGACTCACTTCTGCAGGATGTTCAGGATTTGCCTCGTTTGGAGAAAATGGTAAGAGTAAGGAGGACCCGTGACTGCTATCCCCTCCAGGAAGGGGTGACAGTACACAGACCTGCCAGCAGAACCCGCTTTGGTTGCATGTACCACCTCCCACACAAGTGCTTTACTCTGAAACATCTGGTGCTGTGGGAGATGGGAGGGAGCGCTGAGCCGTTCTAGGCAGGCAGTCCCCTTCAGCACTGCTCTTTGGCTAAGAATGGCCTTTCTAGCCTAGGGCAGCAAATCCAACCCTCTTCCCTTTCAAAGAGCTTCTGAGGCCTACCTCTGTTAGTACTAATTAACAAACCAGCTGTGCTACTATCCTTTATATTACTAGACCCCCTGGTCTCACAGGACTTTGTGCCTGATGATGGATAAAGGGCTGTCAGATGAGAAACAAGGACTGGAGTCCCTATCTGTACAATGAGTAATGCCTACTTCTGCAAAGTGCTCCAAGATCCTTGGATGAAAAGTACTATGGAAGTGCCAAATTCTGTTGCTGCTCATCCTTTTAGTCATCCCCTTGGGGCAGGGAGCATGTCTCCCCCTTTCCTGTACCATGCTGAGCACGCTCAGCAAGGAGAAAGCAGAGACTGTATGTTTTACCTTACAAACTGATCAAGGGGATGTAGGAATGAGGCCACGGTAAGTGCCCTGAAGCACCTGATATATTTTTCAACTCTGTTGCAAGAGCGAGAATGCCCAGTGTGATGTATTAAACTCCAACACCAAAACAGCTTGCAAAGCCTCTTGTTCCAAAATGAGCCGGCCACACACAGCAACAAAATTGTTTTTTCTACTGTTTTGAAAATCAGGATCAAGTCTGGGCTTGTTGAAAGGAAAAGATCCCATGCTTTCCTTTAACATGCAAATTGCATGCCCTCTTGATTACACCTCTCCCCTTATCCCTCCATCCAAGGAAGTTTAACAGAAGCACTGGAACTAATCAAATTCCTCTAGTCACACCTCAAGAGTGGTGGTGGGCACATGCCTGTGCCCTCCATGTTTCCAAAATGAGAGCAGCATATTTGACCTTCACCTCATTAGGGATGATATAAATCTCATAGCATTAAGATGAGGATGTCAATCACTTGTATATAAATCACACGTGGAGTTTCCAAATGGCTTTCATCCCTGGAGTCCTCAAAAGTTGGGGGCTATGGATCAGGCCAGAATGGATGCCTTTCATCAGCTAATTCCCCAGCCTAAGCTCTTTAATGAAACAGCTCCTTTAAAAAAAACAAAACCAAAAAAAAAAAAGCTGAAATAGCTGCATACATTAAGTTAATTACTTTAATTACTGTAAAATTACTAGACAATAAATTCATAATTTTAAGCTTCTAATCCCAAAAGTAGCTACGCTTTCTCTTCAGCATCTCTGAAGCTGGTGAAGTAGCTTTTTGGTTTCCTTGCCAACTTTTCCAGTCACTTTTATAATGGAAATGAAACCTCCCATGAACAAACAGCTCAACTGTGGTTCTGGGTGTCTAAAATATAAATATCATCCATCATGGTAATGCTTTCATTGTCGTTCCTCTGAATGTTCCCCTCTTTGAGAAACAAAGCTCTTTGGGGGAAAGCTCCTGTTTTCCAAAAGTTTCTCTCTTGTTTATTGGAGTTATTTTTAAATACAGAATATCTCATACTTCATATAAGCTACTTTAGAAATGAGTGGAAAAGCCCAGACTCTTTCCCAAATAGGAAGTCATTTAGATTTCAGATGACCAGAGGTGACAATGGAAATATGTAAAACCCTTTCCTGTTATGGAGTCCAAATGCAGCTGGTGACTTCATCTGTGACAGACACAGGTGAAAAACACTGGTTGCTCTGCTCCAGTTGCAAGCAATGCGTTGATGCTAATGGCAGTTATGCCATGCCTAGTATCTGAGCGGATGAGTTTAAAACAGGCTCGGGCATGTCTCTGTGATTTGCAGTCACAGCAGTATACACACGCATACTTGCACTCATTCATTAAGCACCTTCAAGATCCATGGAGAAGAGCAAGGACTGTTTCCGTCTTCCACTAAACATGATGGATTTTCTAGCAAGGCAAAGCCAGTGAGGCTACAGATGACAGGCCTAACTTACATGGTCTGAGATATGAGGACAGACTGCCCTAGCTGAAATTGCAGACAAGGCAAATACTTCTGGGGAGCTGGTGCTAAATGAGGGCCTTATCCTGCAGGGAGCTGAGCTAAGACTCCAATGGGAAGCCAGCATGGCAATACAGTGGCTAGCAGAAATCCCAGCCCTGAACGAAGAGAGTGCTTCCCCTCACTCAGCAGCTGCCCCTCAGCCTTATTTAAATGAAGCCACATAAACATTGAGCCAGCCGACTACATGAATGGGGGCTGCACCTCCATGTGCCCTGGATCGCTTTGAAAATCCCAGCCTGGAGTTGTCTTGACCCCATTTAACTGCTCAAGACCTTCCCAATCACTTAGCTCCACCTCCAAGCCTCATGGCTTGTCCCCATCTCTCTGCTGAGCGTCTCCCAAAATTAGCAAGAGATCCACTCCAGCCCAGTCTCTAACTGGGCTGGAGAGAACGGTGAGCCCACAGCCTCTTGTCTCGCATGGCTGCAGCCCATGTTGCTCATACCATGCATCTTGCCTGGTTGCAGAAATACCTACTCCGAGTCAGCTCCTGAAGCCCTTGGGGCCAACTGGATAATCCTGCAGCCTGCTGCATTGTGGAGCTTCTGGGAACAGAGAAAAGGAGGGGAGGTGACGACTTGCCAAGTGGTGTCAGGAAGCCCGTGGCACATGCCTCCTGGCATTTGTGGGTGGAGATGCTGGCAGGGGCCTCCCCAGAATAGCTTCTGTCCTGGCCTGGAGGGAACAGATGAGATGAAATGTAGCATCTAGCAATGGCAAGATCATGGAGCAGGATAGCGCACATCATCCATGGCAGGGTGTAGTTCAGGTGAACAAGGCATAGCAACTGGTTGTGTATGCAGAATGCAGTTCCCGTCATGTGTGAGAAGACCTCAGGCAGCCATGGAGAGCCAAATTAGGAGATCTCTTTATCATTTTTATTACAGCGCAAACAGCCTGTGTGCATGTAGAT